TGTACCATTGAGTTTTACTGACAAGATTTTTAATGAGACAACTTTTGTAACATATTTAAAAGAATAATGTACTCTTTTTTTAATTATGCTTTTCTCATAGATTTTTTCTAATAAAGCTCTAACGAGACATATTCTTTGTGCAATCAATGTCCATAGTAGGGGCGGACCTAGGGGAGTCCTGGGGGTCACGTGACCCCCTAACTTTTGAGAATTTTTTTTTTTTTTTGATTTGATAAAATCATGTTTGGCATCAATTAAAATCTAAATTTTAATCTAAATCAAAGTTAACAATTAATTTTAATAACATATTTTATGGAATCCATAACTGTTTTAACTTTTATCAAAATTTACTAAAAATTTGATTTTAATCTCCACCAAATAGGGGCAAAATCACAATAAATTTGAATTTCGATAACATGCTAATTTTAAAAATTCTCCGATAATTGTACGCTAATTGAATTAAGGGGCAAAATCACAATAAATTTAAGTTTTTTTCTTTTCCCTTGCTATCTTTTACTCTTTTCTTCATGGATTTTAACAAAATCTTAACCATTCTAATTTTTAAAAATTTGTATATAATTTCTCTACAAATTATCACATTTACTACATATCTTCATTTTCCAATCAAATTTTCAAGTAATTAGAACCTAAGGATGTGTTTGAGCCACATTATTTTGGAAGAATGTATTTTGGAATAGTAGATTGATGGAGAATGTATGGTTGAAAAAGAAGGAAACGTTATTGATGTGATGGAAAATATTATTTTATTGAAAAATGTGTGGTGGAAAATGAGTAGAATAATGAGAATGAAAATTTTAATGTGGATCTAACATGGGCTAAATTTGTATTTTCTCCTATCAAACCGTGTATATAGAATGTGTTTGAACTCATTATATCCAATTTGATTTATATTTAACGAATTGTGTTTATTTGATTGATTATTAGTATTGAATACTAGTTATATGTTTTTCATTTCGATTAGTTGAATTAATTGTTTGTATCAAATATATTATAAGATTTTTAAACATAAATATGTATTTTCTCGTGATGAACAAAATATTAATAAAATGACTCTTCAAAATCAAATGGATGAAAATAATCAACAAATTATGAATGAATAAATATTTTTTTAAATGTAAATCTCTATTGCTTCAAATCAAATATGAATTATTCAAAAATCAAGAACAAAGTATTCGATTTGTATAGGGTTTGATTGTATCCCCCTAACCTAAAATGTCCACGTCTGCACCTAGTCCATAGCATAAAAGATATTTTACCATCAAAATAATACTCATATATTTATGAGATTTTCAAAGAGATTAATAAGAGCTATTTTTTAAATCATCATATTACTACAGTTATCAAATGTTGATTAATATCTCATATGAAAACGATATTATTTGAAGACTATACAGGTAACATGAGAAATACTTTACCAGAAATTGAAATATTGAAAACATTGACGTACAAGACATGGATCGCTTAATACGAAAATTTTTACTTATTGAAATCTGGAAGAGTAGTTGTACTCTTTTTCCTTCGATCAAATTTCGTCTCACTGGGTTTTGTTGACAAAGTTTTAATGAGGCAGCATTTTATTATTCCAAATTATTTGTACTCTTTTTCCATTTGTTGGTATTTTTCCTATCGAGTTTTTGTGATACAATATTTCAATGAGATAGTTATTTTGCAAATAATCCTCAAATGAGGAATGTTGTAAACTATAGATAAATATTGATAATTATGTAATCTTATCATCCTGCACAAATAAGTTTTTATCTCATTTAAATAGTTTATTTCATTTCAATTGTAACTCTTAATTTGAACCCTATAAATACGGGTCTTGGTTATTAATAAAATACATATTTGAGTTTTGACTCTCTATTTTTTTCTCTTATTTATTCTTCTTATTCCTTTTATTTAATAACAATTTCAAAATTATTATCTTAGTCGAATCCTTTAAGAAAGATAAAATTTTAAAAAAATGAAAATTAATCAAGATAAGACCTTTTATTTTTATTATTCATGTCTACAATCATATCAAAATAATCCACTTTGTGTTTTATTGTCCTCTTACAACAATTTGTCTTTTCACAAAAATAAAGTAATTGCAGATTTTACTAAGCTTAAATTTCCCCTGTTTGACACCCATTTTTGACAAAAAATAAATTTTGAAATAGTGATTGATGGAAGAATGTGTGGTTAAAAAGTAATGAGAATTTTTGGGTTTATGTGTAGTATTATTTTATTGATAGAATGTGTGGTTGAAATGAAGAAAGAGAAAAAAAATGAGAATGAGAATGAGAAAAAATGGGTGTCAAACAGGGGCTTAGTTAGCCATCCATAAAATTTTAAGTGGCTACTCCTATTACCTCTCAGTAGATAAAACAAGCTTGGCACCTGCATCAGTTTCAGGGCTCCGCATCAACTGATGCCATAAAGCCCATCCAACTACCTTTTCGGCACCTTCAAAAGGTTTCAAAAAACTATGTATTCAACTCTTGTTCACACANAATCACACAATCACATAATAAAATATTTTGTACGTAAACCTAAATTTTTTTTCTACTTTTTAATCCCATATTTTCTAAAAATTACTATTCAAAATATAATTTTTTAAGTTTAAAAGTCAACAAACAGGACTAGCCACATGGAAATCCGAATACATTTCAATTACATTCTTTTACAACTTAATACTCTGTACAATTCATGCGTGGCACCCTTTTTTATTTTTGACAATGCGACGTGTACCAATGATATATATGGTGTGTTTGATGAATATTATTGATGAAAAAATGTATTTTAAACAGTGATATAATGAGAAATATGTGGTTAAAAAGTAAGATAAAGTTGATGAACAATATTATTTTATTGAAAAATGTATGATTGAAAATGAGTTTTAAAAAATGTATATTGAAAGAATGTGTATCAAACATGGGGCTACAACATTAGTTTAGATGACAATAAGTCTATGTTTGGTGGCAATTTATTTGAAAAATCATTGTTTTGAATAGTGAATTTTGAGAGAATGTATGACTAAAAAGTAGGAATTTTTTTTGAATTTACATGTAAAATATTTTATTGTGTGAATGCTTAGTTGAAATAAGCATGTAACAAAAAGAATTTTGAGAAAATGGAAAACAAATGGGGCTATATAACTAATCACATTAAAGATGAGAATATGGGATCTACTGTGACAACCATTAAATAAAAATTCACGTTTTTCAAATTTATTTTTAATCACACATTTTAAATATAAAATATTTTGCACGTAAATTCAAAATTTTTTCTCACTTTTTATCTATACATTCTCTAAAAAAATCACTATTTCAAAATTCAATTTTACCAAAAAAAAAAAAAACCTCATTTTAGTGATTGCCAAATATGGATTTAATTAGACTAATTAGTTAGTGACATTTACCTAAAGTGTTTTAGTTGCGGTGGAGCTAGATATCATTGCTAGACCAAAAAAGGTTGATTAATGCCATTCATCTTCATTGGGTTAAACATCAATGTATGTAGCAATTTCATGATATTAATTGATAGATCTATTTAAATATATTGTCACATGATTAATTTAATTGAACCTATCAAGGACGGTCATTTAAGAGAGTTTTTGCTCTTAAACATTCTTTAATAAAAATCCATGCTTATCAGTTTCTACATTTGTATACAATCTTTATGTACGGATTTATATGGATTATGGATAACGGAGCACCATTAGGCAGAAGGCCGCAAGGGAAACAAATCCAAACAATCCGTCATAGTGAGACAGAAAGATTATACAGGGCAGAAGCGTAAAGAAACAACCCCAACTCATATCTACGGTAAGAAGGTTTAGCTTTGCAAAGATCTTACATTTATTTAATACTTGTATGCCAGTTGGAATCCATTGTTTCTTACTGTAGATATGAGTTGGGGTTGCTTCTTTACGCTTCTGCCCTGTATAATCTTTCTGCCTCACTATGGCGGATTGTCTGGATTTGTTTCCCTCACGGCCTTCTGTCTAATGGTACTCCGTTATCCATAATCCATATAGATCTGTACATAAAGATTGTATACAAATGTAGAAACTGAAAATCATGGATTTTTATTAAAGGGTTTAAGAGCAAAAACTCTTTTAAACTTTATTTAGATACAAGTATTTAGATCCATTATAGATCCATTGTCTTTAAGGGTTTAGCCTCGAAACGTGTACATCAAATTTTTAAAAGATAAGAAAGAAAAAATTTCTCTAAAAATTTCTCATCCCCTACTATTCTCCTCTGTCCTCCTTTTATAGATAGATAAAAAGACTGCAAATCAGACCCACGAACCTGTTTTAAACCCGTACGGGAAGACTTCGCGTGTGCAACAGCCCTTGTAGTCCCACGTTGGAGCCCCGTTCCGTCGATGTGCGCGTACGTGCCCATCGCATGGCCTAACGAACCTCGGCGCGAAAATCATCAAGGAACACTCAAAACACTGTCTGCCCCCAGTTGCCTAGTGGTGGCAATCGAGCCAAGCCAGCTCGTGGGCACGAGCCCTCGGCTCGTTTTTTCACGAGCGGCTCGTGGGCACGAGCCCATGAGCCGGCTCGTGAAAAAACACTTAAAAAAAAAAAAAAACTAAGAAAAGCAAAAAAAATAAAAATAAAAATAAAAAAATTGACGAGCCACGAGCCGAGCCGAGCCGAGCCGAGCTTGCCCACGAGCAAACGAGCCACGAGTCGGCTCGGTTCGTGAGCTCGTAGCTCGTTTCTCCTACGAGCCACGAGTCGAGCCGAGCTCGTGGGTTTAAGAGCCGAGCCTGCTCGATTCGGCCCATTGACATTTCTACAGTTGCCCCATTCGCGGCGTGCACCCGGGGATTGGGCGTGTGTAGAATTTAAAATGACTCTCGACAACGGATATCTTGGCTCTCACATCGATGAAGAATGCAGTAAAATGCGATACTTGGTGTGAATTGCAGAATCTCGTGAACCATCGAGTTTTTGAACGCAAGTTGCGCCCGAAGCCATCATGCTGAGGGCACGTCTGCCTGGGTATCACGCACAACGTTGCCCTCCACCTCGGCCCGTAAAGGGATCGTGGGTGTTGGGTCGGATATTGGCCTCCCCTGTGCATCGGCTTGCGGCCGGCCTAAATGTGATTCGGTATCGACGCATGTCGCAACAATTGGTGGTTGAAGAACTCAACTCGCACGTTGTCGTGCTGGACTGCGTCGTTCGGCTTGAACGTGTTGACCCCGACGATGCTTCGCACTTCGACAGCGACCCCAAGTCAGGCAGGATTACCCGCACTCATAGGTTTGTAAAGCACTTATCATACTTAATATATTTTTTGTAATTGCTGTTTTATGTACTCCAGCAAAAATAGAGTCATAATAAATGTCTTTACAAGATTTGCATATTCAGATGTAATAATTAGAATATGTGTCTTACAGACATGACAATCAATCATAGCTCTCTACCAGTTTCTTTTAAATTAGTGAAATATAAATATTTATTTATACTTCTTAAGGTGAGTCTATTATGTATGTAGCAATTGCATGATATTCATGGGGAGTTTGACACCCATTTTAGTAGAAAAATGTGTTTTTGAATAGTGATTGATGAAAGCATGTGTGGTTAAAAAGTAAGGAGAATTTTTAGATTTATGTGTAATATTATTTTATTGATAAAATGTGTGGTTGAAATGAAGGGAGAGAAAAAGAATGAGAATGAGAAAAAATGGATGCCAAACGGGAGCTAATTAATAGATCTACTTAAATATATTGTCATATGATTAATTTAATTGAACCTATCAAGTATGGTAATTTAAACGGATGCTCTAGTCCCGTTGAAAATGAATGGCATAGCTCAAAAAAGTTATAGACTGTGCCGTGACACGTGGAGATAGTTTAATGGTTAGAGTAATTAGAGGCTTCCTCTTTTATTTGAAGAGAAAGAGATACAAAAGTTGTGGATGAAAACCTTTATCTACGTCTTTAATGATTATCTCCTTCGCACAATTACCTTAGCATTTCATATTATTTTTGAATAATTAAACTTGAAAAAAGAAGGAAAAAAATAAAGGGAAAGTTCAGAGATTTTTCGGTGAGAAGGAGGGGGCTTCTTAATCAAGATTAAGACATACAAATGATAATTAGCCCCTGTTTGGCACCCATTCTATTCTCATTCTCATTCTCATTTTTTTCTCTTTCTTCATTTCAACCATACATTCTCCCAATAAAATAATATTACACATAAATCTAAAACTTTTCATAATTTTTCAACCACACATTCTCCCATCAATCACTATTCCAAAAATTTTATTCTCCTAAAAACGGGTGTCAAACACCCTCTTAGTGTTTTCTGATTATAATTGCATCAATTCTTGTATTCTAAACCGCCTTAACGGAAATCCCCCACACCAATCAAATAAACGTTCCCCTTTTGCAAGAAATCTAAATTTCTGATCTTCTTTACCATTTTTCCTTTTTGAACACACACAACGAATCTTTCATAAATTTTGCTATTTGTGATTTGTTCGTTGAATATACGAAATCCCAATCTTTGACTTTTTTGTTGGTGCTGTTTTCGTGTATTATTACTTTCTTTTCTGATGTATTCAACCAGATTCATTGCCATGAAGCCCTGTATCAGAATCCTTCTTCCCTCTAACCATTTATTTGTACCACCTAATTTTTCCAAATTTGAATTATTTAGCCATAAGTTTCACTCGAGTTCATTCCATGTTTTGGGAATTAAATCAATTTTTAATCATTCCCAGAAGGTGATTTATGCCCCATCTTCAACTTGGGGCCATCCTAGGATTTTATCGGGGCCTAATTGCAATAGAGGTTATTATGTTGCCAGTTTTGCATCAAATATTAGGAATTTTTCGAAATCGGTTGAAACCCGCGTGAACAACCAGAATTTTGAGAAGATTTATGTCCAGGGTGGCCTCAATGTAAAGCCGCTGGTGCCGGAAAAGATTGATTTGGATGAAACCCTAGCAAAAAGTGATGGAGATAGGGCACAGGTTATTGATGGTCCTTATGGTGTATATGGGGAGAACTCGAATGTGGTCGAGGCCGTGAAGGCTGATAACAAGGAGTCTGAGGTTGAGAAGGAGGCATGGAGATTGTTGACGAATGCGGTTGTGACGTATTGCAATAGCCCGGTTGGGACAGTGGCCGCTAATGATCCCAATGACAAGATGCCTCTGAATTATGATCAGGTGTTTATAAGGGATTTCGTTCCCTCGGCCCTAGCTTTTTTGCTCAAAGGCGAGGGGGAGATAGTTAGGAATTTCCTCCTGCACACCATGCAGCTACAGGTAAATTGATTTGCACCCATGTATTTATTTATTTAATTTTTGTATTGTATTCATCTAATACGTGGATATAGTTTTGTTTGTATGTTTCGAATTTTGCGTGGGAACATAGATTCAATCTTGGAGCTGTAGAATTTGCATAGGAGAAAGGAAAACTTTTGGTTGAAAATGCATCATTTTATGGAAATGAGGTGCTAGCTTATGTTTAAGGAAGTGTTAATTTCATTTTCATACATTGTTCCCCTTACAGCAATGCATTGCACACTATGCCTTTGGTTGCTTTTCACATTAGAATCCTCGAGACACATAATGTTACGTGTATAACTCATTTTTGCAAAATTTAAAATATTCAGGTAACGTTTTGCTTAAAGATATATGTACAAAAAGTTCTTTGATTGAAGTAAACAAAAGATGTGTAACAATAATGCAAGTTGTATTAGATATGCATCTGATACAATATATCCGATGACCAATATACTTAGGACTTTCCAATTTCTGTTCTTTCAAATTTCACTATTACATAAAGCTCCTCATACAATATAATTAAGTTTAACATTTTGCTTAAATATATATGTACAGAAAGGTTTCTTTGATTTGAAGTAAATGAAAGATGGAACAATAATGCAGGTTGTATTAGAAATGCATCTGATACAATATATCTGAGGACCAATATACTTAGTACTTACAAACAATAGAAGCAATGAGTTCTATTCACTGGTTTAAGATGTAAACAATTTATCTTGCATGTCTATGACATTTATTTTGTGTGTAAAACTTGGAGTCATTTTCTTGATACTACAAGAGGAAATTAGTTTTCTTATGGTTAACAAATTTAATATTTTGGGTAATTAACGTATTTATCAGTCTTTATTTATGATTTGCCGAGACATTATGAGTCAATATCCACCTGAAAGCATTTGTGCAAGATGTGACCACTTATTTTTATTCATTTAATTTTCTCATTCTTAACGTTTCCCTTTTTGTATATAGAGTTGGGAGAAAACGGTGGATTGCTACAGTCCAGGGCAGGGATTGATGCCAGCAAGTTTTAAAGTTAGATCTGTTGCTCTTGATGATAACAAGTTTGAAGAAGTTCTGGACCCAGATTTTGGGGAGTCGGCTATTGGCCGTGTGGCACCTGTTGACTCTGGTAATTATGTCCTTTTAGCAACCCCCCCTGCTCTCTCTCTCTCTCAACACATATATTTGGGATGCCTATAATCACATGTCGGATTTCTATGAGCTTCAGTATGATAAAATGAGTTCTAAATTGTTGTTAATATTTGTATTATACATAGGATTGTGGTGGATCATTTTATTAAGAGCCTATGGGAAGATCACTGGTGACTACACATTACAGGAAAGGGTCGACATTCAGACTGGAATGAAACTTGTTATGAACTTGTGTTTGTCCGATGGCTTTGATATGTTTCCGACTTTGCTTGTAACCGATGGATCCTGTATGATAGATCGACGAATGGGTATTCATGGTCATCCTCTAGAGATTCAAGTAAGTTTATGTTCTCTACCCCTTTTAGAACTACCCCGCTCTTGATTTTGCAGTTATGTGATATGACTTTGAGGTGCTAATTCTCTACTTGCTCATCTATATACTGTAGGAAAGAGTTGAAATCGTAATAAGAATTCTGTTATGTTGCAAGTGTACTTTTTGGGGAATTGGCTAACATTTTTATCTGACCTGCAGAGTCTGTGAGATATTTTTGCCTTACTGGGGAAATATGAAGTTCTTAGGGAAGTCAATGTTCTTTTTTGATATGTAAAACACTTTGTATACATCAACTAAGATGAGGAACCAAGGTTTAAATTCTTTATGAGTTTTTTAATAGTTGTCTACATAAAGTATAAACTTTCCCAACCTCATGAAGAGAATAAGTTTCTTCCTCCTTCAGCCGTCCCAAGTCCCTGAAACATATGCTACAACTACATTAATGAGAAGAACACATTGATTTCAGATAAAATGACAAAATAAACAATGAAATGAGATCCCAACTGCCCATGTCAGCTTTCCGCATCTTCATCAGCCCATGTTCGCTACCTTTCCTAAATATGCTATCCAACCACTCAGAATTTGTTTTGCTCTCTCTGTGTGTGTATATATTATGGGGCAGTTGATTGTTGCCTCTTCATCCTCCTCATGAATCACCAACACAATGGTAATGGACGGGAACCTTTGCTTTATCTCCTCTCTTTATTCCAGTTGTTTAGATATAGGATTTGGTCCCAGTTAGATTATTTTTGATAGATGGTTGATTTTATAAGGTCGTCAATAATTAGTTGATACAAGCATACAACGTGGCTCTGCAAGCATTGCAGTCTTCTAAGATTATTTGTGATTGATTTTGCAGGCATTGTTTTACTCAGCTTTACGGTGCTCCCGTGAGATGCTTACCTTAGATGATGGATCCAAGAATTTGGTGAGGGCCATCAATAATAGACTCAGTGCATTGTCATTCCATATCAGAGAATATTATTGGGTGGATCTCAAAAAGATCAATGAAATCTATCGTTATAAGACAGAGGAATATTCCACAGATGCTACTAACAAGTTTAATATATATCCTGATCAAATTCCTCATTGGTTAATGGATTGGATTCCGGAGAAAGGTGGTTATTTTATTGGCAATCTGCAGCCGGCTCACATGGATTTTAGATACTTCACACTAGGAAATCTCTGGTCCATAGTGTCATCGCTGGGTACTCCAAAACAAAATGAAGCTATATTGAATTTGATTGAAGCAAAATGGGATGATCTTATTGGTCAGATACCTCTTAAGATATGTTACCCTGCCTTGGAGTCTGAAGAGTGGCGAATAATAACTGGCAGTGACCCAAAAAATACGTAAGATCTTTCAACAGTTTTTCTGCTGCATTGATTTCTGGATTTCTAAATCTAGTTTACATCAACAAAATAACTCCCCCTCCACCCCCCCCGGCCCCCAACACCCCAACCATGGCTGTATTTACATAAAAGTGGAAAGTGTCAGCTAAAATTCATGACGATAATACTAATTATAACTTGATGGACTTTTGCAGACCTTGGTCATATCATAATGGTGGATCGTGGCCAACACTTCTGTGGCAGGTAAGACTAATTTGGTTTATTAAGTTTTTCTTCTTTTATAATGATGATGTTAAAGATGTATATTAACGTGAGTGCCTTAACACGAAGTCATGCACATTCATCTCTTTTGTTCTCTCTCAACACATGGACAAACATGAGAGCATGCTTACACCCTCTGTTGTGTTAGTTTGGCTGACCATTGACAATTGACACGTGAGTATATGCACATGCAAGTTCTCACACAAAAAACATTGTCATTTCACTGGTGATCTTGTATGTGATGAATTAAAGAAAAAAGTTTGGACTAATGATGTGCTTGAGGAAGAATGTTTCAGTCAGATATAGTTCTTGGGTGTGGAGCCATAAGATAGTTGGGTATAGTGCACATGATTTGTTCAATGTGAAGAATCCCGGATCAAATTATTAATAAATTGTTTTCTTCCTGCATTTTTGGCAAATAGATTAGGTGAATAATTTGTATTGGGAATGTTCTTTAGGCATTAGAGCAAATTTGTGTCAATATTTGATCTAATCAGGGGATAATTTGGAGGAAATTTACTTTTTCAAGAGATAAATGTGAGGTCTTAGAGACATAAACATCAGCGCATACTAGCTAACTGGACAAAGGACGATGTCTTAAAGACGTGTTTATCAGCGCATACTAGCTAACGGGACAAACTCGATGTATGTGCCTATTAAAGTTTAAAACATTAAATTTTGATTTATCGGTTTTCTTATATAAAATTTAACTCGAATCACAATATCCATATATTGACTGTAGTTTCTTATTACAAGAAATGAGGTTTTTAAAGTTTATTTTTCAAAGTAGTTCATGTAGTGTTTAAAAAATGGTGTAGATAATATTTAATATTAGAGGAGTCTGTAGAAAGTCCCATTTATAGTGGTACTCATTTTCTGATTACTCTGTGTTACTCTCTCAGTTCACATTGGCATGCATGAAGATGGGTAGGTTGGATTTGGCCAAGAAGGCAATTGAAACAGCTGAAAAAAGACTTCAAGTGGATCGCTGGCCTGAATATTATGATACAAGGAATGGGAAGTTTATAGGAAAGCAATCCCGATTATATCAGACATGGTCAATAGCAGGATTTTTGACTTCTAAAATGCTGTTAAAAAATCCAGAGATGGCTTCGGTTTTATTCTGGGAAGAAGACTATGATCTTCTTGAAACTTGCGTCTGCGCTTTGAGCAACTCCAGCCGGAAAAAGTGTTCCCGCATTGCTGCCAAGTCTCAGATTCTGGTCTGATGACCACTAACTATTGCTTTGATGGGAATGACCCCATCTTTTGTAGTACAGATGCTGGTTTGGGATTCAACATGTTACACGAGATGTTCGTCTTATAGGTTATACTTAAGTATCTTTTATTTGTAGCCTGATTTTTCGAAACAGGTGACTCTTTCGGGTGGCCCATAAGTGTGGCCTTTTAGTTGTTTGTTGTATATATAAAACAGCTATAAAATATTTAGTGTTGTCAATGTTACTGCTAAAATGCAATATTTAATAGAAAATTTTACTTATAATTAGCATTCTGTTTTATGTTGTGCAATGTTACTTATAAAATGCTTAATGCTGTCGTTAGGTAAACGATATTTCTTTTTCGATTTATTCATTAAGAGTAAAATATATTACAATCGATAAGTTCCCGTTCTTTTTTCATTCCTTCTTTAGTATTATATAATATTTTACAATTTTTCACAAGTAACATTGACCTTCGAAATTTTCACCTATTGTAAAGAGATAAGTGAACTTATTGTTCATTAGAGAGAATATGATCATCTATCTATTACACTTTATCAAAACAATGCACAAGCACTAGAATTTATCTTTTTTCGTACTTGATAAAGTTCTTGATCTCTCTTGAGTGGTATGACCTATACCAAGTCTTCAATATGTGGTTGATGTTCTCTGAAGCATTATGTTCTTCCGGTACATACAAAATCGTATGGGATCAAATATTATTGTATTTAGCTTGTCAACCTTTATTAAGAAGGTTAACTAGAGATTTTGGTATCATTATTTATTAAATTTTAGAGACAATCATATCTACTTTTAAATTTTTAATGCCCATTTATGCACATATGACATTTTGCATTCATAAGAATTAACATTTACTATAGTTCAACACTTGGTGTCACGGGCAGCAGCTTTACTTAAGCCCCGTGATCCTATCGCAGTTGAAGTTGGGTGATCCTATTGCAGCTGCAGTTTGCCCAACTTCGGCTATACATTGTAAATATTTCATTTAATTGTAAAATAGTTGGAAATTAGAAAAGTTTTGTATGATTCCTCGGCTTTTAAACGTCTACTCCCGTTCGGGTTTTTGTAGCTAAGTTTATTATATGAGGTATTAGTTTTTCAAACATCTTTCAAGCTTTCTAGTGTTCGCCCCCTGTACTAGCCATTGTAATTTCCTACTTTCGTCATTTGTAATTTCTAGCTTTCAAACAATCAATGATCAAATTAAATTCAATGCAATTCAATTTCATTATTTATTAAATTTTAGAGACAATTATATCTACTTTTAAATTTTTAATGCCCATTTATGCACATGACATGTTGCATTCATAAGAATTAACATTTACTATAGTTCAACACTTGGTGTCACGGGCAGCAGCTTTACTTAAGCCCCGCGATCCTATCGCAGCCGAAGTTGGGCGATCCTATTGCAGCCGCAGTTTGCCCAACTTCGGCTGTACATTGTAAATATTTCATTTAATTATAAAATAGTTGGAAATTAGAAAAGTTTTATATGATTCCTCGGCTTTTAAACGTCTACTCCCGTTCGGGTTTTTGTTGCTAAGTCTATTATATGAGGTATTAGTCTTTCAAACATCTTTCAAGCTTTCTAGTGTTCGCCCCCTGCACTAGTCATTGTAATTTCTTGCTTTCATCTATTGTAATGTTCAGATTTCAAACAATCAATGATCAAGTTTATTTCAATGCATTTCAATTTCATGTTGTAAGCTTTCTTTAAATTGTGAGCAAATTTACTTTCGTCCCGAAACGATCGAGAGAAGACGAAAGATAGTCTAATGGAGCAGACTACTGTCGCACGATGTTCCTTTTTGTGCTAAGAAAAAGGTAACCCGTGAAAGTTGGCACATAGTTGAAAGTTCACCAAATTTCCAAATATCATTCACAATCCTAATGTTCCCTTATGTAAACTTAATTTCACAACCCAAAATTCTATAAGATTTATGTGAGAATTATTCTAATTCCTTCAACCTTAGCATTCCTACTCATTTGATGGACTTGAATATTCCTGGTGAGAGTTTTACAACTTTTTCAACTATAGAACTCCCAATGAATTGAAAAACAATAGGTCTTAAGAATTTCAATTCTAGGGACCTTAGAATTTATAAATATCATAAAATCTAGAATGTGATTTCATCATATGCAATGAAAGCATAAACATGTACATTTATCAAAATATGACTTGTAGACATGAAATCGCAAATTAATTCTTCTTGAAAGATTTTTCAAACATAACCGTGGTAAAAACTAGAATTAATGAAGTCTTTCACACTGGTCCTTAAGCTCAACATTATATCAGTTACAATACGATCCCAACAAATGGGAAGAAGTTCATTATCTCATTAATTTCAAGTCCTAGATGCACTACATCTAGATGCATTCCTTCGATATGTTTAATGTATTATACCAGGTTATATTACGAATCCATTTTATAATTTTGATAAGCACATTGCTTCTCAATACATTCTTTAGCCGAGTTATTTAGGATTTCCTTCCAAGAATGTTAAAAGTGTGCATAATTCAAATTAAGCACAAAAAAAGGATCGAATTATAATCGATCACATAATCAAATTAAGATCCACAACACCCAAGAATGCACATCACTATACTATTTAAAATTAGAAAATCATAATTTTTCGATTTAAATATAATTTATAATGAATTTTTATAATAGAAAAAACACATTGAAGAATACTATAATCATATAGGAACATCTCAAAAACTCTCACTAACATAACTCTCGAATATTATAATGGATACAACATGAAAATTTTCAAAATTTAATTTACTCAGAAAATAGTTTTTATGTATATAGTAATGAGTTTTAATCATATTCAAAAATAATAATTAATATTCTATGACAATACGACGGAAGGAGAGTCAGAGATGAAAATTACTATTCAACTTCTTCCTTGAATTTTTTTTTCTGAATTTCATAAACTCAAATTTTCGTCCTACACTTTGAAAATTCATAACTCTTTCATCTTATGCAAAAATTGAGTATGCCACATACGGTTGGAAATCTTATACAAAATACGTTCTAACTATACCAATTTCAACACACACAAACCTATGATTTTTCAAAGTTTCCTCTATTTCAGTTGGAAATGGTTTTAAGTGAGCTAATTTGAGCTCAAATTTATATGGAACTTAATATCAAAAATTAACGAGACTAAGCATATTGACATTCTACTTCGTGAAATGATTAACTTGATATATTTATTGGATGAAAGTTATTAAAAAATTGAATGAAATATTTGATTTCAAAGTTGCACACTTGAAATTTGAAAGTCGAAGTATTTAATTGAACTTAACACTTATTCCGCATGGGAAGCCATTCGAAAAAAATGTTTGGTTTATAAGGTAGTAGTTTAGCCTTTTGGGTTTGCATCCCAAGAGGTACAACTAGTCTTTATAAAGGAAAATATATTGGATTCGGTAAAAAACTCACATGCATGCACTGCTGTCATCGTTTGTCCGGCTTACTCAACTTGATTCAACATAGTACAACACGGATGTCTATGAATAAATCTATAAATAGTTGCCTTTCTGTTGAAAAATTATATCTTTTTCAACGCAAAAATTTCTGCTTTGAATCTTAACTCTCTAAATTTTGATATTATTTTGAGTACGAAGATACTATATTGAGTTTGTTGAAACTCTTACTTATCGTTGTGCTGCTTCTAGGGATGTCAACGAGCCGAGCCACGAGCCGAAACTCACAGCTCGAGCTCGAGCTCAAGCTTCGAGTTTTGGCTTGAGTAAAAATGGTTAGACATTTTTTTTGCCTAAAAACTCGGCCAAAAAATTTAGGCTATACTCGAGCTGAGACGACTCGATTTTTATTTAATTTTTTAATAATAATTCATGACTGCTGCTTGTGTTTGCAGGCAGCTAACCATTTTTTTTTTCTAAAACTCGGCTCGTCAGGGGTTGAAAATGGCCCGTGACACAAGTGTCGCCCCAAAATGGGGCTTAGCCTGAGCCTAGGCTCGATTCCACCGAGCCAAGATCTGGCCCGGCCCGACCCGACTCGGGCTTTTCCCGGTCGAGCCATGGGCCACCGACAAAATGCTCAGACATATATAATAGAACATGGCAACCTTTCTGATAAGGTGCAAAACATGAATATTTTTGCGGTAGTTTCTAAATGCAACTTAGGAGAAAATACAAAAGAAATGTTGGGTGGATACTGAGGTTACTCGTCACACATGTGCAAACAACTGGATATTTTCGACCTACAAGGCGATGAATCATGATAAACAACTCTATATCCAAAAACTTCATCTTCCAAAGTTGAAGGACATGGAAATATCGTGCTGAAATTAACAAGTTTTAAGGAGCTTATATTGAATGATGTTCTTCATATGCCCGAGATTCATAAGAATTTGATATCTAGTTCTCTTTTAAAAAGAACGAGTTTAAATTAATAATGAAATTTGAATTCATTGCGTTGGATAAAGTAGATATAGAAGTTGAATGACTATTAAACTCTCTAGAAGATGTGCTGGATCAAATATGTGTTTGCTATATATATCAATTGTGATAGTCAATCAACAATTTGGAAGGGAACAAACTGCTATATTTATGGAAAATTTCGATATATATATATTGGGATTATCTTTATAGATTATGTGAATCAAAAGAGAATATTACATATTCACTAAAGGTTTGATAAGAGAACACGTCGAAAGTTTTTTGAGGGGAATGGCGAGACATATTACTGTTAGACTATTCTCTCTACTGGTATTATCTTCATAGATCATGTGAATCAAAAGAGAATATTACATATTCACTAAAGGTTTGATAAGAGAACACGTCGAAAGTTTTTTGAGGGGAATGGCGTTAAAACTTATAAAGTAAACAAGAACTTTCACGTTGGTAACCCAACCTAGTTGACTGGATATCCCAATATCTAGATTTAATGAGACAACCGAACTGTAAAGAACTTAGTATGCACTATGGAGATTTTGTTACTCCTTTAAGCC